GCACACAAATTTGCGATGCATATTTGGTATGAATTGGGTCATTAGCATAGTGAATTTTAAAAAAAAAATGATGAATTGATGTTTCCTACTACTGAGAATCCCATTACATATAAATAATAATCTGCAGAAGATTTTGATTAAAATCTATTTTTGAGTTTATAAGTTGGATAAAAATATATATTTTAATTTATAAAATATATTTAAAAAAATTTAGTAAAATTATAATTTTTATATAAATGAATTAACTGATTAATATAATTAGATCTAATCAAGCAGTAGTTTAGATAAAATATTAAAATTTCACCATATCATACTTTACAAATATAATATTTATTAAATTTTTTAAAGTATGATAACTATATTGTTATGTTTAAAAATAATAATTTTTAATAAAAATTATGTTTTTTTAAATATTTCAAACTATTTCGGCAAAAAAAGAAACTTTATTAATTCATTAATTTTATTATTTTATTATGCTAATTAAAAAAAAATCATGCACATATAGTGTTGGAATTTTATAAACAAATATTTTTTTTTAAAAAAAAAACATCATCATTGAATTAAAGACTTGCACGCGTTGTTAAGTCTTATCACCAAACCATCTTTTAAGATGCAGACAAACAACATGATGGGCTTTTTTGTTTTAGGCAAGTTGCGAGGAGTAAAAAAAATAAAATCTATTTTAAATAAATTTTTTATATTTTAAATTATTTTGATATTCAAATGTTATAAATAAATTTAAAAAATATTTTGATATATTTCTAAATAAAAATAAAATTTTTAAAAATAACCACTACCCTAAATCACATAAATCTTTTATCAATTTTGATGAGGGAGTTAAATTGACTTTGCTTAAGTTGTAGAACTGAATTAAATTTATTACACAAAACTAACCAATAAATACTCTCGCACTCTTCTCTTCCATCTCTCTGAGATGAGTCTCTTTCAGAGTTTGTTGCGTGTTGGTGCCACATGCCAGTGTTGTGCTGGTGATGATGCCTTTTCTTTTTCCGTTATGTTTCTTTTCTTCTTCAATAATACCAGATCTAGTATATTTCCTCTGGATATGATGCTTTTCACAGTTTTTGTCTAGTTTAGATGATGTTTTCCTGAGTTCAAGCCCCCCTTTTTTTAAAAAGAATTTCTTCCTGTGTTTTTTTTTGCCCCTTTACATGTCTGGATTATAGTTTTTAAACCTTCCTTGATTCTCAGACCAATTGAAAATTTAGGTTTTTATTTTTGACCGGCTCAATTTTTATTTTAAAAAAATTTAAAATAATATTATTTTGATAAAAAATAAAAATCAAGAGACTGAACAAAGTTTTTAAACAGTGTTTTTTTATGTTAATGAATTCACACGAGACTGAACAAAGTTTTTAAACAGATTTTTTTATGTTAATGAATTCATTGAGTCACATCTAATTATAATTTTTTTTATTTTTTCAATTCAGTCTAATTTCAGCTTACTTGTTCAGACCAAATTTTTAAACTATAGTATTGATATTGCAATGAAAATTTTATTTAGATTACGATCTTTTGGTAAAAAATGCTTAATCAAGTGAAAGATCAGGGTTAGGCAGAGCTATTGGTGGGTTGCTGCTAGGGAAAAAAAAAAACAGCAGCTGTCCATTCACTAGGGGTGTTCATTTTCGGTTCGGTTCAAGTAAAAAATGCTTAATCAAGTGAAAGATCAAGGTTAGGCAGAGCTATTGGTAGGTTGCTGCTAGGGAAAAAAAAAACAGCAGCTGTCCATCCACTAGGGGTTTTCATTTTCGGTTCGGTTCGGTTTTTATAAAAAAAAAGTAACCAAACTGGAAAAAAAAAATTTGAAAAAAAAAAACCGAAACCGAACCGAAACCGGGTCAAACCGACCGGTTTCGGTTCGGTTTGGTTTTTTAAGGGAAAAACCATTTCAAATCGGTTTGGCTCGGTTTTTCCGGTTTGGCTCGGTTTT